GGGCTCAATCCTAGGACCCTGGGATCATGACCTGAGCTGAAAGCAGATGCTTAATGACTGAGCCACCCAGGCGCCCCTAGCTTAAGGTTTTCTTATGAGTCCTATGGGTTCCATATTACTTTGCTCTTGAAAAAAGTAATTTGTTGCTAAGTTGAGCAGTTTTAGCTCTCGAATCCACATTTACATGACGGAAGAAATTCTTTTAACCCTGTGGTTTATGATGTGCTACTGGATAAGTATTTATATAAAACCGATATTTGAAAGAGAATCAGTTATAATTGGAATTTGTAAGTAAGTGGCAATTTGTAGATCTACCTGTGTCTTACATTTTGCATCTTATCAGTGCCATAATATAATTAGTTTAGTGACTTTGTCTTGTTTTTCAGTATCTAAAATTACAGCTTATTCACTATGCTGTAAACATTTGGAAATAATGAGTAAAATTTGGCTAAAAGCTAAACCCCTTTGTAGAGGGGGCTGTAAAGTGAAAAAAAAAAGTCACAGCCCACCTGAATGGGAAACTTCAATGCTGTTTTTTAAACTGTTGGACTTCCTTTAAGAATAAGGAAACTTAAATGTCTAACTGTAGTTGCTAGATGAGATGTTGCCAGTTTTGCTGAGGTTCATGTGAGCATGCTATTTGACTTAACATTTTTCTCCTGTTGGGGAGGAAAAACCTCTCTTCTACCCTCTTAGATCCAGTAGTTGGGGGCCTGTGAATTAAACTGATTAGCAAGAGAAAATGTAGATTTTTTTTCACATCTGTACACAAGAACTCAGAGAAAAGCAGGATTTGGGGCTCATATGCCATCTTAATAAGGGGAGGGGAGAAAGGGCACTTAGGGGAAAACAAATGGCTTTCAGAAAGGATAAATGGGCCCTTAGGAGAAAGAAGGGAGGTATAATAGTTTTGTGACAATGTCTGCTTAGTTGTGGTACCAAAAGTCCCAGGGAGAGGATTTGTAACAGTTGAGTTCATTGGGGGAGATTCTACTTTTAGGCAGATAAAGGGAATTCAGAAAAGCCTCTTCCTGCATCTGTAGATTCTCAATGCCCTTAGCTCAAAATAATTGTTATGCCACAGTGGTGTATTCTGGACTCCTTTATTTCCCCCATCTAAAACTTCCCAGGGTGTTTCAAGGAGCAGAAGCTGAGATAGTGGTTGTGGAGAAAAGATTCAGGTTAGAAGGTGGGAGGTAAGAGATACGCAAAGGGAAAGAGGCATAAATTTATGGAGAAAGAAAAGGAAAAACAAAAACTAATAGTTGAAATGGATTATAAACTCAGTTTCTTGAGTTCAGAGAACAGTCAGTCCAGATGATTTCTACATGTTGGTCTTGAAGTGTCTTTAGATGGCAGAGTCATCACGATGGTAGTGGTAATCTCACAGTCATGGGCATTTCCTGGAGCTCAGAGGACCATGTTCTGGTGAACTTCCTGAGTGGCCCAAACTGTTGGGATAAAGCCTTTAAGGTTCCCTTCAGCTTGCAGGGCTTTAGGAAACAGGCAGTTTTAGTTCTTAATGGTGCCAAGTCAGGAGGGTGGAAGAAAGTTGGAAAAGTTAATTACTGACAAAATGCACAAGATGGCATGATTCAGCTTTCAAAGAGGTGAAAAAAGCTCAAAGACAATGAACAGGAATAGAATCTGATAATCCACAATGGTGGGTTATAGTTTTCTATTGAAACATAAAATTTATCTGTCATCACCCCCACTTTTATCAAAGATAATTGAGGTAAGACTATTTTTGTTTGCAAAGCAAGTCTAGTCTCGTCAAACTTGGCCTGACTGGGTTTTTTTGTTTTGTTTTGTTTTTAAGATTTATTTATTTATTTATTTGACAGAGAGAGAGAGACAACGAGAGAGGGAACACAAGCAGGGGGAGTGGGAGAGGGAGAAGCAGGCTTCCTGCCAAGCAGGGAGCCCGATGCGGGGCTCCATCCCAGGACCCTGGGATCATGACCTGAGCCGAAGGCAGATGCTTAACGACTGAGCCATAGCAAGAAAGGTAATTGACAACATAGGCCTTTTTAAGTTTGTTTTACTGGAACTTTTATTAGGAATCTCAGATTGGACTTTTTTTTTTTTTTAAGATTTTATTTATTTATTTGAC